ACTTTCTTATTTTAGTTAAGGTTAATTGGTAAAACGTACTCCTAATTTTTTTAATAAAATCCTACTTAATACCTGATATTTTGTTTTTCTTATTATGACACTTTAAACTATTAGGTAAAAGCAATTAACCTACTCCATTAAGCTTCTCATCTCTAATATAAAAATGAAATGAAAAAAAATTATCTATTTTGGTTAATGGCTTTGAATTGTTGGGTAATTTTTTTTCATTTTTATATAACTAAGACAGAAAGCCTAACAAAATAAGTTAATTAATTTGATAACTCAAGGTACCATAATTAAAAAAAGAAAAAAGAAAAAAAGAAATGAAAGATACAAGATTAAGTTAGATTCTATAAAAAAATTTAGATGTCGTTTTACCAATTAGCCTTTAGTTAAAGGCAAACGATTCACCCCAAACTAAGGAATTCATGAATGAGAATTATAGCTCTAACAGCATGGTTTGAGTTTGAACATTGGTAGATAAGAAAATAGCACACCTTTTAAACATCAAGTCTACCCCTACGAGTTAAAGTTCACCGATCTGATGCAATTCAAAATAACTTTTCATATGGGGACTAGAAAATTTACAAAAGTTTTACCTGTTCTATATGAATTCTTATAGTCAAGGAAGTAAAATGCTGAAATATATTGATAAAACCCTTCAATTACGTAACTTGATGAGCAAAGTTAATAATGCATTTCCAAGATGATTTGAGCAAAGTTAAAATAAAATCCATTTTTACTGATTTAGTTAAAAATAAACTATTTATTTCAAAATTAAAGAATTTATATGAGCATTATATCTGTAACTTGACCAATAAGAATTATATTTCTAATTAATAACCTGGTTTGAATTTGAATCTTGATGATTGAGAAGAAAACACAGCCTTTAACCATCAAGTCAATTTACGTGTTCAAATCCACCTATATATTCCAATAAAAAATGAAAATTTAATTTACCGACTAGAAAAATTGCAAAAAAAAAAAAAAAATGCATGTTTTGCATGAATTCTTACGATCAAGAAAATAAAACACTTCATCAAGATGACTAGCTACATCCATGCTATTACAATAATTCATGAAGCACTTTGTCGTCTTCGAACATACCATATACATGTCTATGATTCCAACTGAATTACAGGACTCAAAATTTTTCGTATATAAAAATAAAAATTTGAATAGGCAATTATATGGGAATGGTAGGAACAATTTGTAATAGCTTATTTTACGTATTCTAATGTAGATTTAGAAACAGTACAAACGCCATTGACATGATATCAAACAAAATGAATCTCGTGCACTTGTCCCTTTGCTAGAACTAGGAGAAGATGTTTCAACTTTCAACAGAAACGATATAGCTATGCAGAATACTTTAATTCTGATTCTGAATAAAGTAATGAATTTGTAAAATTACACCCTTATTTATTCTCCTGACACTTGTAGTCCTTTTACCTAATGGTAGTGATTTATTAATTCCAACCTAACACCAACAAATATAGTATTCTCCCTTCTGATGAAGCATAGTTCCTCTCAATATTTTATAAACATTATTATTCTCAATATTTTATAAACATTATTATTGTTGTTGTTGTTGATGTCGTCATTATTATGATAGGATAATAAAGATATTTTTGAATTGGTTTATGTATCAATCGAAATTAAGTTTTTCGTTAAACGATTTTAAAGATAAATCTCATATGTTAACGTAATACATTCAGAAAATTTTAATAAAATTTTCGCTAACTTTCAAAATTTAAATCCAAAAAAAAAAAAAAAAACAAAAAATTGAAACTAACTACTTCAACTATGGGCCAACCTATAGGATTAATATTTTGTAAACATGCAGTAGCACTCCATGTTTGGTGAATCTAATGGCATGTTACTTGGAACATTCCATTATGCTCAATCAAATATTATATATATTAAAAAAAAAATTGTTAGTTCTTGAGAAATACCAAAATTTTAGGTGGGAGATGGAGTTAGGTTTGAATTTTCATATGAAGCAAAGAATGAATTTGCTGAACCACTGGACCAACATCTGCTAACTCTAGACTTCCCTGGTTGAATGATGATAACTATAAGCGTAGCAGGGAGAATAGTTTGGGCCAGTTAAAAGGCTTGGATTGGCCTATTTGGCCCATATTTCAATTGCAAGAGACCATTAAGTTGGTTGTAATGGAATAATATATGAGAGAACCAGGGTTATTATTAGAGTTTCATTCTTATGATGAGTGAGGTTCTCTGCTACTGTGTATATAATATGATTAATGAAGCTTTTAGGTTTTTAAATCTTATAAAATATAAAAATATTTTAACAGTCCGTATTATCAAATTTACAATCTCATTATAACAAAAACTATATATATATATATATATAGATAGCGCTAAAAACCACAACTATATAAAAAACACCTTCATTTATTTATTTATATATTTAGGCAGTGGGCTTATTATATCGCACACGAGCACATATGACGTGAGTTAGGCTTCCTTTTGCTTGAGATTTATTATTTTTGCTGCTTTCCTATCCATTTCTTTAATTTTATTTTACTTTATACTTATCATTTTTCTGCTTGGAATGGAAGGATTAGTTACATTCTGCAAATTTTTTTAATAATACAATAAATATCTTCATAAAATTTCATTTTGGTCCATGTAATTTTTAAGTAATTATTTTAATCCCTATATTTTATTTTTATTTACAAATTGGTATTTATTTGAAATTTTTTGCTTTTTAAAAAAATTATAGTTTAGTTCTTATAATAATATTTTTTTCAATTAGGCCCCTGCATGATTACTCTTAACCATGTAATGATTCATTACATGATTCTTTTTAATGTAATACTTGTAATGTAATTAGTCATTATAATTGTAATCGTCCATCATATAATTTTGGAAATTAAACGACCAAACATAAGAATGTAGTAAATCATTATACTATCTGATTCATTACATCTAATCATACTTGTCATTATAGTTTATTGTTTTCTTTTGGGCTAGTCGCTGGATTTAGTGCATTATGAGCATCTTTGGTTTTTGTTATGAAGGTTTTTTTTTCCCACACTAGAGTACTCGTATATCCCTATTTCTTTTTTTTTTTTTAAAGGAATATTTTAATCTTATTTACCATACTATTATGGTTTTTGCCAAGTAAAATTCCACCTAAACATTAATCCATGGCAACCTTTTCTTTTTCTAATTTAGCTTACTAAACTAATCAAGATTAATTAAGGTCAACTAATTAATAAATTACCATAATAATATTCAATCTGAAAAACCATAATTTGAGGTAATTTCTAACTACGTACCAAAAGACAACATTCAATCCCTTCAAAAACTGCTAGGCAAACCATAATTCATAGGAGCATTAAATGCTTTTGTGAAATAAAAAAAAATGTAATGACAAAAACAGACAGAGAAAAACAGAAAAGAAGAGGAAATGAGAAAAGGGTAAAATTATAACAACACCAAAACACCCAATGTCAAGACAATAATTAGGCAAAAACAAATATATATATAAGGTTGAGAAATAAACAAAAAAGAAAAAGAGGAGTAATTTACAAAGGCGAAGACATTTGAAAGAGGAAGAGGAGAAAACAAAAAACAAAAACACCACGTGGCACACGTAGTAGGAGGCAAAGCATAGCCACAGTTAAACAACATTGCTGCCGAGTGTTTTTGGGTGTGAGTGAACAGACAAAAAATGACTTTGCTTCTAAGAGATTATAGGTGAGGTGAGAGTCAGCAAACTTAAAGGTTTATTTGGCTTAGAAGTTGGGTTGTAGCTATGACAGTGGTTGTAACTATAATAATGGTTAAAAATTAAAAAAAATAAAAAATTTGGTTAAAAAATGATGTTTGGCATAAAAATTATAGATGATACGAAAGGAAAAAAAGATAGAAAAATCCAAAATAATAGCTTCTAAAAACTAGCTTTTAAGTTTTTATATAGGATCCACGTGGATTTTACAACCAGTTTTTGTCTTAGGGCATAAGATTGGAATAATTACACTATGTCTATAAATATATTAACTTTTAATTTTTTATCAATTAAATATATTAACTTTCATTCAATTTTCACGCTTAAAATCTAATTGATTTTTTTTAACAACAAGCCTTACTAAGTTTAGTTTAAGATTTTATAACTAAAACTATATATATATATTATCAAATTTTAAAATAACAGAATGATTTAAGGAGAAGATTCCTTACAACAAAAGATGAAAAAAAATAATAATTTGGTATCCGAACACGTCATCAATTAATGGAGAATTGATGAAAGCATTTGATTGACAATTTTGAAAAAAATTTACTCAATCTGAAAAAAATTAAAGATCATGTACTCTATTAAGAAAAAAGTAATTATAATTTGATATTTTGAAAATAATAAACACGTCATGGAAAAATTGACGAAAGTGCTTACTTGATAAATTTTAAAAAATTGATATATTCAAAAAAAAAAAAAAAACTTAAAGTTATTGAGAAAATATTAAAAATTGATATACTTATATTTTGATTATCCCAAAGAAGATTGGTTGGCTTTTCAAACCGAAAAGCCATAAAAGTTCATCTCCTCTTTGAAGCCAAACGGTTGCTACTAAGGAGATGATCCACCAGGCAGAGACACTATTAAAGAGGTTTCGCTGTAGCCTTCTTCTTGCTATTCCATTTCATTTAAGGGCAAACCTCGCATTAGCCCCCCGACTATCAATAGTTTTCATTACAATCCCTCAAATACTGATTTTTTCAATTAAGTTTCCCATCTTTTATAGTTTCCTCAATTAGGTTGTCAACTAACCGTCTAACCCCAAGAATTAACCTGCAATGTTACGAATTTCAATGCTTACTCGAGCACATTGCATTGAGTTTGTCTTCAGAAAACCATTACCTAAACTAGAAGAGTCTAAAATGTCAAGAAATTGTTACTCTAATCTGATCTATTTTGACCAATGAATTTAAATAATATTCAATTCTAATGATCCATAATTCAAACCAGTGGTTCAAAATGGGAACCGGCATTGTCCCTGTGCCAAAACATAAGGCATCATATCAGACAATGCATTCTCAGGAAGAGAAATAAAAACAAGAAAAGGACGAGAGACGGACACAGAGAACCCTACTTCACACACCCACACATAGGCAGCACCAAAAAGATAACGAGCCAACGCTAGCTTCATCTTTCAAAATAAGTTGCTACACATACATTTCATGCGCCAGGGTAAGATCAGGTGACATGCAATCTCATATGAAGGGTGTGGTTGACTTTTGAGTGATTTACTCCATAATTTAGGACAAATACACTTGAAAACTAGTAGTTTTGATCAACTGGCATACAGGACAAACATTGGTTAACATATCACATTCTTTACACAAACACAGATGCCTGCAGGGCATTAACAACATGGACACTTCCCTTGTTTTGCATGCTCGACATGCCGTATGCTCCTTCAAGCCTTGATAATTCCAGGGGAGAGGCTTTGCAGGGTCACTGGAAAAGTTCAGGTAGTTGTTAGGGTCAATGTACGAGGCAGCATCATCAATCTCACTGTCTCCAAATCCTTCCTTCCCTTGATCAGCACCCTGTGAAATTGCCTGCTGGAGGTTGCTCTTCAAGACATTGACAACTGATTCGTTGTACTTTGCTCTATAGTGCCAATTCTGGGCTTCAGCAGCCACCTGCTTTATTCTCTCAATCAACTCCTTGTTTTTACGGTTTATGTTCTCTATTTCTACGTCTTTTTCCTGTAGCTTCTTGCTCACACCCTTCTCAATGGTAGCGAGGAAAGAAGAAATATGTCTCTGCTTCAAGTCCCTCACTCCCTTAGCCAAGTGCTCCTCCTGTTTGGAGGAGGAGATTAATTGACAGGCGAAAATTAACTCAGGCTAATATGTTAATAAAAAAGAGGGGGAGGGGGTAGGGGGTTTCTCCAATCAAGCAATCATGAACCAAAAACTTTATCTCACCAAAACAAAGAAATCTTCATAAGAATTGATCTACTCCCAATAAAAACCTCACAAACACAAGAAATCATGCACAAAATTGCCAACAAAGGGAATGAGTTTAATATTAACAGGTAAGAAAGCAGAAAGTGTACATTAGTATATGGCATAACAACAAGCAAGAGATGAGTAAATGTGACCTCATACCTGAATCTTGATATACTGATCAAACTCTTCTTTCTGCCGATCAAGCTCAGTCCTAATATTATCACCAAGGGACAGGATGACTGAAGGTGCAGCAGTCATACTTCCACTTGCAGAAGTTACAGACGAGTTGTGTTCATCATCATCATAAGATAGACGCAACCCAGTCGATACAGGGTTTGGGTTTGGAATGCTTGCTGAGCGGTCAGCTTCATCTTGACAAATGTTATAATTTAAGGAAATCTGTAGCTTTTGCTGTCTGCCAAAATCTTCTGCTTCCCTACCTCGTTTATTGGCACGAAGGATAGGAGTTCCATGTTCATTTCCAAAATAATTAACTGGATCAATGCTGCATCCAGCTGCCACTGAAACAACCAATTGCATATTACAGATTACTTGAACTGCTTTTTATTGAAAAAAAAAATTAGAGAACAGGAACAGGTATTGGAAATGGACGAGAGTGAATTTGTCAAACCATAACCAAAGAGATAATAATCATTTTGATATCCATTTTCAGTAACTGCAGCAATTAATAATCTTTTAGCCTTGATTTCTGTTTACTTTGTTAGCTATTTAATTCAATTCCTGTAACGAAAGAACTATAAATGGTCTGAACTTGAATTATGAGTTCACAACAATCCCGAGTATCAGAAATAATGTATTAACATAGATCCATTGCATTCTAACAACTCACAGTTGTGAATTCGAGTCCAAAAAGGTTTCATTGTCAAAGCCCTAACTATCATAAAGAATGGGTTTTCTTCTTATAGGCATCACAATTCCTGTAGCTCTAAATAGGAAGAGAAATAATGAACAGGAAATAGAAATGCAAATAAGAAATAGCAGGAATATTGATAAATATTATAGAAAACTCTTAACCAGTGTCTAACATCCTAAAAGTAACCAAGACTCTTAATAGTAGATAGTATTATACACTATTATGTAAATTAGAATCCCTCAATAAACTAAAAGTACACTGTACATGAAAGCCTAATATTTTAAGAATTAAAAGGTAAACATAAACAATTTCTAAATTTCAAATTCAATGCAAAGAAACTAAGCCTGGATACCCATTCTGCTTTTAACACATGCATAATATCTCACTATCCTTTCATAACACATCCCACAAAACTGGTTCCAGAAACTAATAACATTTAAGTAAGGGCACCTGATGCCTACTGCTCACTACCACATGACCCCATACCTACAAGGTTTGCTACATCAAACATAACATGGTAAAATCAATTAACTCATTTTCTAGGGAGGATAGAGAGCAACTGGAGTAGAGACATGCAGACACTATAATTTATAGAATCATGTACTGAGATAAAACAGAATGAAACTTGATAAGATGAGAACTCACAATTACCAAACAACTGCAACTGGTTTGATGCATTCGCCTGATAAGGAATATGATTCTCATCCATGAAAACAGGAAGCAGAGAATTACCGTTGTTCCCCCCAACATTGTTTGCAAGCAAAACCTAATTTATCATAAAGTTATAACGGTTTAGGAATGGCACAACCACTAGCCTGCAAAAAAAAAAAAAAAATGCGCAGATGGATCACAAGATCTCAACACCAAATTTTATATCTAAAATCACTACTTAAAATGAATGGAAGAGATAAAATTTCTTTTCAACAAATTGACGTTTCAAATAACATGAATGTTAGGCAAAATGTGGAGGTTTGCCCTCAAATAATTCAACTCAGACTAACTTAAAAATTCAATATTATGTTTGATGATTCGAACCTAGGAATGTGGATGCATGCTGATTCCTTTCTTCCCTAGTCTCAGTAAATTAAAGAAAACGTATAAACATCATCACATCACAGTTCAAAGTCAATGTGACCTACGGTTAAGCCAGCAAGGTGGCACGTAATTCACAGTACAGATACAAGAAACACTAAAGGATAAGATATATAAAGCATAGTCTTCAATTTGTAAGCATCCACAGATGACAGCATGTATTAGTATGTTGAGACAAAGCGATTGTTTTGAGGCACATCATAGATAAGGTATTTTAATACCATATCAAGCTAGTGACCATGTTACAAAGGGCAAATGAATCATATATGTGCACTGCACTGCTAAAAGACATAATTATTTTTAAACAGGTTAGGCACTTGCACAAGTGCAAATAAGCAAATAACATAGGATGCAGTGCTCAAAGGAAACGAGTTTGTAAAAGTCAACAACATGCAAGAATCATCCAGCACACATGTGATAGGAATCAGTGCCCAGAGCTTGCTGTTGTAAGAGTAATTTTGGAGCGCTAACACTTTTACTAAAACCACACATTGCAATTGTTGCAGGACTTAACCTATCTCTTCACTCCTTAAATATATAACACAACGCTCAGTCTTAAATTTTAGTAGTATTAGTATCCATGGTAATATTACTAAGTTAATATTCATGCATATTAATCTTTTTGGTTCTAATTGTCGGGTATCTTCAGAGAAGCTTTCACACACCAAGAATAAGTCCTTGCAGGGTCGACCTTCCACATCAGCAGTGATGCATTCACAAGAAAATTCTTTTTCACAACCCCTTGGATATGATCCAAGATGATTACATGGGAAATCGAGCCTACCTACCACCGAATGAACAGCTAGAGGGTTATTTTTCTTTTACTACAATGCTGATTCCATTATGTTCGTGAGAATAAACACAGACCCACTTTGATTGGATTGCATTGCTTGCTAGGACTAAATGCACACCGGCCCGCTTGACCAGCATCAAATTGAGCCAAAATAACTAGGATTCAACGATTTCAATCTACTAAACTGAAAGTGCGAAGGGCCTAAACATGATCACCGTACATCATCTTGAAAAGCAAGTGGATGAAAGAATACGCAAAAGGAATTAAGCCAAAATGATTTATCTCATTGAACTGCTAAACGTTTTAGAAAGGAAGTTTTTTCTTGAACTTTTAAGGCAAGATAAGACGATGAGTGAGGATTTTAAGCAATTAAATGAATTGATAAAGAAGAATGATGAAGAAATATGCTTTGTCGTGGAAGATGGACACGTGGTGTGTGATTTGTGCACAAAAGATGAAAACTTGAGATTAAGTCTCATAAAAATCATAAGAGAAATTCAAAAACTTGAAGATATTGATTTTGTTTTGGGGTTGATAACTAGATAAGGAAATGCATATTGACCAGATAAATATGGAAATAAAGGGGAAAATATAAAAGCATATCTTAGAAACAACAAGACTCGGATCACCATCAAGATTCACAAAAAATCAGGCAGAAATCATCCAAACCTGAAAAGAGAGAGAAGAAGAAAATAAAGAAAAACATGGCAAAAAAATACCTCGATATGCAAGATGATTTCGCTCAAAGAGCACAAAAGATCCTGCAAAACCAACACCAACGCTAAAAATCAGACAGGTCATGTGAATCCATGTACAGACTACAGACCAGGCAACATCAATAGAAAAGAAAGGGAAGAACTTCTGCAACCTCGAAAAAAAAAAAAGTATTATTTTGAGAGACAAAAACCAATCATATACAGGATCTGAATGAAACCCACATGCACCCTCAAATCAATAAACCAAAGGACAATAATAATAGTAATAGTAATAGTAACGGAGGAAGGTAAAATGGTGGTAGTGGTGGATGGTTAAGAGACAGACAGGAAGAAGAGCATGGTGCGGTTGGAGAAAAAATTATAAGAAGAAATAAACTTTATTTTCATTTAATGCTTCGGTGGTATGGTTCTGTGCAAGGGTCGTACTGACCAAAAAAGTCTGGTGGTACTCACTCACTGACTGTCTGCCTGCCACTGCCTGCTGCTTAAACGTTAAAGGTTTACGCAAACTCTGAAATTTCCTTCCTTCCTTCCTTGTTTTCTCTGATGAAAAACAAATCATGATAAAAATTAAAAAAAAAAAAATGAAAAACGAACCTGGTAATTGCATCATAAAATCCTACCCAAGTTAAAGTTAGTTTTGTATGATTTTTTTATTATATGATAAGAATATTTTCAAACAAGTTACGCCATAAATCCGAAGAAGTTTAAAAATTCAAATCGTTAATAAAAATAAAAAAGAAAGAAAGATATATATGAATAAAGAAAGAAAAGAAAAAACTTTCTGACCGTCAACAAATTCATATATTCTTTTAGTTTTACTATGTTGCAAATTCTTATATTTACTTACGTTTTTCTAATCCTTAAACATCTTCCAAGTTCAAAAACTTCATACCAATTCTTAAACATTTCATCGAACGTTTAAAATAAAAAAAATTATTTAAATTTTTTATATATATATAAAAATTTAAAATGAGTAGAAGCATTTTCACTCAAATCAATACTTTTGTATTATATTTAGTAATGTTGATAATTACTTATTGCGTGGAAGATAAAATGGTGGATAGTTTAACAGTGAATAAAAATAAAAAAACTACCTAGTTTGGGATGTCCGACCATATTATTATAAGGAGTAAGGAGGACCACTTCAACAAATTGAAGAGAGCAAGATAAATTGGTGGAGAGCAGTTGTTATTTACTTTTGTTTCGTTTGTTTGTTTTTTTCTTTTTTTCAGGAATCCATCATTATTAAGTATTCCTGTTTTTTTGTAAAAATATAAAATTCATTACAATAAATTTCATATTTAGAAAAAAATATAGAATATAACTCTCCTAATCTATCCAATATATTTTTTTTTCTAAAAAAACGAAACAAACCCTCTGTCTTCAACCATATTAACCAGCCACCACCTTCCTCTTTTTGTCACCAAATATATAATTAATTTTTTTTAAGAATATCCCATTTATTTTGTGTTAATTAGCAAGCTAATTATTATTATTATTATTTTTTTATCAATTTGCTGCATTAGTTTTTTGAAGATTAGGACTCAAATGCCCTTTACCATACTTTTTTTTGTTAGGCCATATTTTGTAATCCACATTAAAGCTGAGAGCTATTTTTTAGTTTTAGATGGCTGGTCATTAACTTAATGATATATATATATATATATATGTTACTACTAAAAAAATCTTAATGACATATGTTACAAGTATTTGTGGTTTCAATTATCAATAAATATCGATTTTTTTTCTTTTAAGATAACATCAAACACAAACAAAAAAATTTTAAATTAGATTCAAAAGTAAATAAAGTAGGTGAGCACCATTTTCTTGGCCGTTACCTTGTCTAAATACGTGGGAGAAAAAAAGAAAAGAAAAGAAATAATTCAAATCTGAAATATATTATAAAGGTCCAAATCTGATGATGTCCATTTAGACGTTTTGATTACCTAACAAGCTATGGTAGGAAAATATGGGCATTAATTGCTTGTTCGTCTTTTTAGGTTGCTCATTATTTTAATTTTTTTTTGAAGAAAAAGAAAAGGAAGTTTGTATCGTGAGGAGGAATCATGAGAACGTGTCGTAGTGGTCGGTACGAGGCCCATCAGAGAAAGAATTTAATATAAAGCGGGAAAAGAGTGCGTGGGTTGGCTCACTTGCTCCTTCTTGCGGGTCCCACTCCCCCCTCTCTCGGCGGGTGTAGCAAAACGACGAACTGTCAAGCCGCATCATGAATGATTCACGGATTTAGATAGATAGATAGATAGATAGATGTATAAACAAGCCACGCCAGTTGCCAGGCCAGACGACCTCTTTTTATAACATGCCACCATTTAATGCACAACACAATATTCAATTCCATTCATCATTAACCCAAATCCAACTTATTCCATTACTATCTTGCAAGTAAATGATTCTTTCCCTTCCTCCCTTGTACGAGTCTTCATATTTGAATTCAAATACCGGTGGAGTGTAAGAAAAATATTGATAATTGCATCTATTTGTTGCATAGTATATATTTTTCATTCAATAATAAAAATATTTTCGAATTCATTTATCATTAATTGAGATTAAATGTTTTTTTAAAATTATTTTCAAAAGGTACCATAATTATAATGATCTAATTTGATGCGAAAAAATTAGTTCAAAAATATTTTTTGGATTAAAATAAAAGCATGTTTATTAAATAATAATTATAACTAATGAAAACGATAATACTATAACAAATTATATGCAGCTGCACTTAACCTATCCGTTGTACTTTTTGTTTGTCAAATTTCAAAAAATATTATATTTGTTCTTTCTTCCTTGTGATTTGTGCAAAAACATAGTGTTTAAAGCAGTATTTAATGGCATGTTTTATTTTTGAATGATCGATCTAGGTATTTTTTTTAAGAAATCTATTATGTCTAGTTTTATTTTAAAGTTTATTTTTAAAAAAATCTATTATTTTTCAAAATTATTGTTAACTCAAAATTTCAAGTTTTATTTCCTAAGCCAATTGATTTTTTATTTTTGTTTGTGACATCATATTGAATCAATTGTTGGATTCGTCGTCGAGAGTCTCGTCAATTTAACATCATATCTAGTTTAAGTTGCGACATAACCAGGTATGTCAAAGAACGAATTAATATTAGTCTCTATTAGATATAAGGCTTGTTAATTTTCACCTAACATTTATGTTTTTTTTTCCTTTTCTTTTTATGTCTCTTTTTTTACCATTTTTCATTTCATTTCATTTTTTTATATTTTCTAAAGTCAATGGAGAATCACTATCAATCTTTAAAAATTAAAACACTCAACGATTGGTTCTTTTATTAATTACCGAATTTAACTATCAATATTCAACATTAAAATAAATCTAAAATTTCATTACCAAAATCTAAAAGATAAAAAACAAACACATACATGTGGGTCTAAAATCTACCTCCATGATTTTAGATTTAATTAACGCTAAATACTTGGGCTAAATTGAAATTTAAATGCTAAAAGAAATTAATGGCTAGAAGTGAAATTAAATAAATTAAAATAAATAGGCAAAAGAACTTCAAAAATTCTAAAAAAATTAAATCTATACTACAAATGAAAACATGAAGCATGCATTAAATTTTCAGATTAAATCGAACTAGGGAAACTAGTTAAAATAAAATCCTAAAAAAATTGAAGGTTAGTAGGCCTTTAGGCCCACTAGGCCAAGCCCAATAAGCGAGCCCAAACTCACACCTAAATCTAGTAAGCCTATCCTTTATTTTTTTCTCGCAAGTTGGTCTAAGCCCAATCCATTTTCTTTTTCTCTTAAGTCGAGCTTTCTTTTTCTTTTTCTCTTCCTCTAGCCTGGATGTCTTTTTTTTTTCTTTTTTTTCCTTTTCTTTTCTTTACTTTTCTTCTTCTTTCTCTCTTTCCTTTTACGGTCACTCTCTTTTCTCCCTCACTCACCCAAAGACCTTCATTAACGGATCAAAGAAATGAACTTTTGATGGTCTCTCCTAAAAAGTAAAATACGATAACCTTATTGTGAACGACGACCTATCCCGAAAAGTAAAATGTGATGTTCTTGTTCTTAAAGACGGTATGTCTTGAAAAGTAAAATGCAAAGTTTAAATCGAAGAAATGAACTTTTAACGAGTAATCTAATAAAAAAAGATATACGAATCGCTTCGGATGATCTTTTTTTGTAATGAAAAAAACGAGATCAAAGAAACGAACCTTTAACGAGTGACCCAATAAAAAATATATGAACTAATTTAGGTCATCTTTTAAAAAACAAACAAGATCGAAGAAACGAACCTTTGACAAGTGATCCGATCGAAAAAAATATACGAACCGCTTTGGGTGATTTTTTCTTTTTAAAAAATGAGATAAAAGAAGCAAACCTTTTAAAGTTGATCTAATAAAAAAAGATATACAAACATCTCCGGATGATCTTTTTCTTTAAAAAACAAGACTTGGAGAAATGAACTTTTGCTAGATGATCCGATCGAAAAAGATACACGAACCACTTAAGGTGATCTTTTTTTTTCTTTTTGAAAAAATGAGATTAGAGAAATGAACCTTTGACGGATGATTCAATCAAAAAAGATATACGAACCACTTTGAGTGATTTTTTGTTTTTTTTGAAAACAAGATAAAAGAAATGAATCTTTGACAAGTGATTCGATAAAAAAAGATATACGAATTACTTTGGTTGATCTTTTTCTTTAAAAAAAAAGATCGGAGAAACAAACATTTGATAGGTGGTTCAACTGAAAAAGATATACGAACCACTTTAGATGATCTTTTTTTAAAAAAATCAAGATCACGAAACAAATGTTTGACATATGATCCGATCAAAGAAGATATATGAACCGCTTTGGGTGATCTTTTTCTTTAAAAAATAAGATTGGAGAAATGAACCTTTGATAGGTGATCCGATTGAAAAAGACATACGAACCGTTTTGGATAATCTTTTTTTTAAGAAACAAGATTGAAGAAACGAACCTTTAATAAGTGATTTGATCGAAAAAAATATACGAACCACTCGGGTGATCTTTTTCTTTTTTGAAAAATGAGATTGAAGAAACGAACCTTTAACAAGTGATTTGATTA